AGTAGGTATCAATAAATATTTTTGGAAAAAATTACCCCATGAATGAATCCTGATGGTGCATGGAAAATATCATTTATTCTAAGACCTGAATAAAAAATTTAAGGGTTCAAAACTTGAAGCCTCTGACAGATAAAAATTAAAATACCTTCCTTTCCCCCCACATGATCTCCCTCAAACCAACATACCAAAAAACTGTCCCCCACATGATTCAAGAGGCTGCATAGAATGTGGAGGCAGGGAGGGAAGGGGGAGTTAGTATTATCACCAAAAGCCAACCCTTAGCTTCAAAATCACTTCAGTACCTTGGAGGAATTCCCCAACACATAAACCCACTTTCCCACCCCAACAGTTCCACTTAGAATTGCTAATATAAAGAGAGACCTCACCACTACACTTGTGTATCCTTTTGTATAGAGACCAGAGGGGGAAAATTAATCCATGAATTTGGCTTCCATGAATTAAACCACAATGGATCTGCAGAAGGTCTGGATCAGCATCCAGAGAGGCCACAAGATTCCTGAAAAGAGTGTGCAGGGGTTGGTATAAAGAGGTCTTGATAAAAACGTTCTTCAGGTTATCTGCAGGCAGCTAGAGTTTGGATTTTAGTCCATGACAGAGAAGAAGTAAGTAAGGCAGGACATAAAGGGCAAGCTCAATAGGTTCAAAACCAAATGTGAAATTTCTTGAGTAGAGTCTTTGGTTGCCCTTCCTTTGTGCTGCCAGAACGCTTCCTCCTCTGCCTGCAGAACCACCACTTGCTTCTCTGTCTTCCCAACTGGACCAAGTTCCCTAAAAGCAGGGACCACAGCCTCTTTCCTGCTCCTTGCCCAGTCTCAAGAGGAAGATTGCCAGAAGGCAGAGGCTGTCCATGAATTTCTTGGGCCTGTGCTCATGTCTTCCAGATTTGGGTGGAATTCAAGGGTAAACTTCTTAACTTTTTACCTCGTTGACCTCACAGGGATCTCAGGAAAATCCAGTGGAGGCTCCTGTTCTGAAAACTAGGAGTGGTTCATACCAGTAGCTAGCTTGATGTGGGGGCGACTTGGCTCTGATGCTCTCTCCCAGAGGGACAGGTGCGCATAAACATGCGATGAAATTCCATCACAAAAACAGAACTCTCTCAGTAGGTTGAGGGTGAGTAGTTACCAGCTTCACAGACCATTATGCTATGCCAGGCAATCATCAGCTACCTCTCCACTTGTCTCCTACTTCTGGGATTAGTGATATTTATTCATTTGTTCAACATTTATTAAGCGTTTTCTGTACGCAAGGATGTATACTCTGTTAGGGACACAAAGATTGAAGACAGGGCTGCACAGAGACAGTAGGTCGCTGCAATAGAGTGAGAGAAAACAATAGAAGTGGGCAAGTAAACAAGGGTGACAGTTCAGCAAAGTGTTATGGGGGAGGGAGGAAGGGTTTGTCCAGACTTGTCCTGACTCTTACAGGAAAAGTGGGAATTGGCCAGATTGAGAAAGGAGGGTCAGAAGTTCTTGGAGAAGGGAAGACTCTGGCAAAGGTTGAGAGGTGTTCAAGCAAGAGAGGCTCCAAGCAGGGCTGACAGAAGAGCTTTATTTAATTGACTCCTCCCAAGACGTCCATTAGTTCCACCCAAACCACACCAAATAAACATATAATCTAAGAAAAAACTATGCAGAAGACATTTCAAATCAATGGAATCTCCAACTGGAATTGGAACCCCCAATTCCAATCCGATCCTTGGCCCTAAATAAAAGTTCTGGAGGAGCCACTCTGAGAATGATTCTTGCATATTGGGAGTTTGGTATGAAAGGAGAGGAAGTGGTAAAGTCTTTGCCACACCCAGTGTCCCCATCCCTGCTAGACTTGATTTCTCCAGTGTTTCTTCCTTTCCTGGCTGGAGCTGTTGGCTCCGGTAGAGTTTAAACTGTTATAGACAAGTTTTATGCCAAACAAGCAAGCAAATCCGCATTCTGGGCTCTCCCTCGCCATGTCTACCATGAGAATTTGAGTTTGCTGATGTCAGGGACCATATCCACCCTATTCACCTCTGCTTCTCCAGTACCCACTAGAGTGCCTGCATATAATATATAGTGCATATAGATACACAATCATTATTTTTTGGATGAATGAATTCACGGAGGACTGAGCAACTGTAGATATTAGTGAGTAAATATTGTTTTGTTTATGATCATAGAAAGAAGGAATGTGTTGCTTAATGTTACCATCGAAGATAAACTTGTTTGAAAAGCAGTTCAATTACGTCAAGAGTAATTGCCCGTTATTATAGACGTATTCCAATTCCTAGAGAAATAAGCATAATTTTCAAAGCATAATTACATCTGACATTAAGTGACTTCTCCGTGGACTCCCTTCTGACAAGAGAAAATTTAAAGTTCCATAATGCAGGAACAGTGACTCACCTTTCCATCTGAGGGCTGTTCCTCCCAGCTCAAGTATGACGTTTGCTTAAAAGATGAAACCACCCCCATTCAAAATAAATAAGACATTTGGACAACTCTTCAAGGATGAACATTTTATTGGAATATAGGCACTTGGCAGAGTAAATATGTGGTTACAAAGTGCTTTAAGTCTATCTGCTTTATAGAGTGACCAGAAAAACCCATCCACAGTGTAGATTTTTTTCTTAAAGTTCCAGACTTCAGAAGGCAAGTCCCCAAACCCGCTTACTTAAAGTACGAAGACACATGTAGCCAGCTTTTTTACCTAGTGAACCTGTATTGTTTTAGTCAGTGATGTCCTTCCTTTCCCCAGATTAAAATTGCTATGGAGCATATAGCATTTAGCACTTTTGATAAAGAGTGAAAATCACTCATGTGGCAGAACTGTGAAACCCTTGGAAATCACGGACTCCAGTCTGGAGGGTTACAAGACCAGACTCGAGAATCTTTGCAATAAAATGTAGATCAGGCCCAGAGACCTGAAGTTCTTCACACGCAGCCTCTTTATAAAAGTTTTTGGACAGATTGGTTTTCAAGAGACTTTTTTTTTTTTGAAAACAGAGTTTTCTCTGCATGATTCAAGGTACCACTGTCTCCACTCTAAGCTGCAAAGGGAAAAAAAATGACAAGCTAATTTTTTTCAAGGCAAACATTCTCTTTGTGAAAGGTCAATAGTCACATAACTCGTTTAAAGTCATGGAATTTTTCCCAAAAACCATGTCCTGAGGTTTTATGCATTTCTAATGGCTTTGCCTGGAGGAGAGATTCCCCAGAGCAGCCTGCAGAAGCTTTGCATGCTGCTCATTTAAATTACAATAACCTTGCTCTAACCTGGAAACCACTGAAGCAACACAGACAAGTCTATTAAAAACAAGACAAGCTCATAGTAATATGAAGTAATATGAAGTTACTCCATTCAACATGTTAAAATGAATAAGGAATCTTTTTAATGAACTTTAGTTTCCTGTTCCATCTTCAAACGGAACAATCATCCCGCTTAGTCTAGTGAACTTGTCTTTTGTGAAATATGTACAGAAAAATTCTTTGTGTTCTCAAGTACGTCCTACCATGTAGTGCCCAGTACCCTCTGGCCTACAAGATGGGTAAAGGGAGGGCACTGATAGTCATCCATCCAATGCAGATGTACTTTCTTTTAGGGTTGGAAAAATTTCTCAATTTTCCAAGGGGTCCAAGAAGCCCTGAGGTGAGCAAAGGAAGGAAGCTGGGAAGCTCCAGCATGGGTTCGAGCAGGGCTGGGACCTCCTTGCTCGCTGACATTCTCCTGCAGAGAAGGGCATCCTTGGTGGGGCTGGGCACTACTCCTCGGGCTCCTTGCCTTACTGGGCAGTGCATCTGACCATCTGGCTATCTGCCTCTTGGACTTTGGACTTGACCTAAGGGAAGCCTCCCCAAGGGCAGAAAGCCCAATTAAAAAACGTCTCCCTGCCTGACAGCAAGCCCCAAATAGCTCCAACACAGCAGCGTGGCAGGTATTCAGGTCTCACATGTCTTGAGCAGCTCGACACCTGCCAGTTTTTGTGCGAGGCACTAGGGATATGAAAGTGACTTGAGAAGGCAGAGAGCCATTATTCCAGGCTGTGTATCTCTAACAGGAAGCACACATGATTAATAAACCCCAGTTTCTGTCCTTGAAGAGAGAGGTCCCAGAAGAGACGGGAAGTAAACACAATTTCAATACTCTGTGCTCAATGCAAGGATATGAGTGAGCACTGGGTACTGCAACCACTGGCGAGGAGTAGCCTCTACCTTCTTCTAAGGAGACCCTTCATAGATGTGAAGATCTAAACACTCTAAGAGAAATTAAAATGATTCAATATGAGACTATAATGATACTGATTAGTATTCATTCTTTATCACCTAGAAATTCTTCATGGGGAGTTGGACAGAGAAAGATTTTAATTCCTGCTGAAAGAGTTAACCTGTGGGACAAATTCTCTAAACAAATGATATAAACTTGCTGATGATGATCAAAACAAGATTTTAGGACAGTATGTTGGGATCTAATATTAAAATTTGTGGAAGGAAATATCAAGAGGTACTACCTGGGACTGAAGCTTTTAGGAAATGATATGGTATTTTCTGGAAGGATAATAAAACACAGCTTTTTAATCTTCTGCAAGTAAGTCCTTTAACATCAACATTTCTAGGTCATGGTCCATTGAGAAGATGTACCTGTGTCTATTTCCATAAAGCTTTTGTAAGTTCCAGGAGAGAGGAACAGAGTCTTTTTCACTACAGTATCTCTAGCACCTGAGACATCATAGGGACTCAGTTAATTTGCTGAATGACCAAACAAATGATTTCCACTTTTGGTGACATCTTTGGAACTTGACTGGAACTTGATGATGTACATCTTGGCTTTTCATTTCCTTTCTTTTCTTTTTTCTTTCCCATTTATTCACTTCATTCCCCTTCTGGAAATGAACCAGGACTGTTTCAATGGATAGACAGAAAGTTGTCATGGTTTGAAAATTGGCACATTTTTTTCTTTAAATTCCCATAGGTCTTTTAATTTATGTCAGACGGAGCATCTTATCTTTTCTTCTTCTTTTTTGTTGCTGTTGCTGTTGTTACTACACCTAGCACAGCGCATGGCCTAGAGCAGCTATTCGAATAATGCTTGTTTAACCTGTAGTCTTTTACGCTCGACAATTAGCTAAGGCCCCTCTGCACAGTCTAAGGCTAATTTGGAATGCTTTCAGGCTTAAACGTGCCAAGGAAATTTTCTTGCCTCATCTGAATGTCCCCAAAAGGTGATTAATTAATAAAAATCAACATGATTAATTAACAAGAAATTGATAGCAGAATTAGTAACAGGCTCAGACAGCCCCACAGACCACAACCTTCCTCCATTTGTGCTCAGCTTCCCCTGGGCTCTCTCAGGGGCTGCAGGGCTGCCCACAGCAGGGTGACTGGTGTTCCCCACCGACCCTTCCCTGCAGTCTGACTGTGGATGAATGCTGAGTCCTTCAGAAACAATGAAGTCGCTCTAGCGGATGGTGAAGCTGGATTTACAGTATACATTTGCATCCTTACCAAAAAGTAAAAAGCCTCGAAGTACATGAGAGGAAAACGTGCAGTGTATTGGAAACTGGGCTCCTACTGTTTTCTTCATCTTCGCTGGAACACCACTGCCTCCCTTCAACATCCTCAGCTGCCTCTCATCCCAGACACTTCCTATTAAAATGCTAAAGCAGTAATTCACGGTAGAACAGTTCAATTCCACAAAGGTCTGCCTCAGTGAGCATGCCCTGTGTGCATTTCCTCTGGTTTCATTACACACATTAAGGAAGTACTTAATTTTTTTTTTTTTTTTGGTAACAACTTGTGTGCAACCCCTAAGCATACCCATAACTATTAACCTTTGGCTGAGTTTGTGCGAAGAAATACTTATGCCCAATTTTCCCTTTCACTCTTCTGAGGACTGCCCTGGGGTACTCTCCCCCACATCTTGTGAACCTAGCAGATCGAAGTTTGGAGCATTCTCCACCACCCACTGGCACTCATGGACACCAGCAGCCTTAATCTCCCCTGTATCCACGCTAGCAGTGGCCTGGGCCATGCTGCTGGTCCCTCCCAGGGCTTCTTCCACAGAACCCTGGCTCTCACTGGGGCAGGTGTGGTGAGCACTGGAAATGCAATCTTCCTGTGGCCTGGCCTCACCCTCCACCATGGCCGCGGCCCCTCCTCCTTCCTGGGCATCCAGTCTGGAAGCGCCCCCTGTGAGCTCCCTCTCAGTGGGCTCCCCAGCCTCTGCATGCTGCTCTGGGGGGCCAGGGCTGCTGGCACCCTGGGTGAGCCCTTCACAGGCCTGCTGAGCCCCCAGCAATCCCCCCAACTCCACCCTGCCGGCCTCCGCCTGCACCTCTGGAGGGGAAGAATGGGCCTCCCTCTCACTGATTTCACTGCCTTCACAGCTGTCTTGACTGGAGGCCACTGCTTGATCGGCCTCTGTGTCGATTTGGGTTGTTTCCTCTAATTTTTCAATTTCTTGGGGACCAAGGGTCTCTTCATTTGAATCTTTCTCAATCTCGAGGGTGGTTGATTCCACGGGCACTTCAGTGGTCACCATCAACAAATTTCTGAGCTCCATTAAGGAGCCCGAGGCAGAGCTGGCTTCTGGCTTTTCGTGGCTGGGTTCTCCGTCCTCAGGAGCCCCTCCAAACTCCAGCTCTGACGAGGGTGTGCCCAGGGCTCCTGCCACGTCCTCTGCAGTCACAAGACCCACAACTTGGCCTGAAGGAATCACCTGTCTGGTCCCGTCTGGGGGAGGGGTGGGGACAGGGAAAGACGGGCTTTCTCCTTTGGCCAACGGACTAGGGACCCCAGGCTGCTTCTTTTCCCCTGACTCCTGGAATACTTCGTTACTCAGTGCCTCGCTCTCAGAAACTCCTGGCAGAATGGCCGAGGCCCTCCTGGCAGGGCTGGCCTGGTTTGACCCTGCGGGGGTTTTTAGATCCGTTAAGCTGGACACACTTTCACTGGGCAAGGCCATGTTGTCTTCAAATAAGTTGTGTTTCTTCAGGAGAGCAGCTTCCTTTATCACTGACAGAGACCAGAAAACAGAACATGACATTGACCCTCAGCCCTGGCCATCCTGGATTTTCCCATGTTATCCAGAAGCCAAAGTCCCTTCTCAGCTTTTCTGGCTACCCAAATCTCTCAATGTCAAATTCCAGCTGATAGCCACCCTCTTCCCGGTCTCCTTCCCTCATGACCAAAGCCCACACACTCGTCTTCAGCTCTGGACCTCTGTCATGTTCATTCATTCATTCACTCCTTCACTCATTCATGTATGTAGACTGGGCATCCACTATGGGACAGGCTCTGAGAATCCAAAGATTGGCTTTCACGGAGCTCGCAACCTAGAATAGTATTATCTGTATCACCCATAGAGGCCCCGCTGCAGGGGCAGGGCTGTCATTTCTCTGCTTCCTCTCATAGTCCAGTCCTGAATGTATACTGGGTACTCAGTACTGAGCATGCAGAGAGAGCCCTGTTGACCTGTAGTGTCTAGAATGAAGACCTACGTGCATCGAGCTCAGTCTTAGAGGCCTTGAGAGGACTCAAAACAACAATAACAACGATAGCAGCTGACATTTTGACCACAGGCCACTAGAGCTATGCAGGCTGTCCAGTGCCCAACGGTATCATATCCAAGGGGGCACCACTCACATCAGAGACAGCACAGATTTGTGTGTTCGGCAGAATTTTCCAGCAACGAGCAGTAGAGCATCCTACTCTGATAAAAATCAGTATATCATGGCAATTTTTTTGACAGAGAGCCGCCCAGTGTCTGGAGAAAGGGAGCCTTTTCCTGATTGGTGGAAAGGTGCCATGATGGAATGGCATGGGCTTGAGGGGGCCCTTCCTGTCAGACACTGTGCTGACATCTTTACATTTCTCATCTCGTTGGATTAGCTACTGGGGCTCGTGTTTGGCCCGTTTTCTTTGTGGGGGGTTTCTGGTGATACTAACACCTTCCCCGTGGAGACCAGACACAGGCCTACGGTTTTGGGGAATGGCCCTGTCCAGCTGATTTCTATCAAGGCTGTCCTGCCCACGGTCCCATCACAAGCAAGGCCTAACTCCACAGGACAGTGGGTACTGGAGCCCCAAGATTCACAGAGTACTGTGTCGGCGCCCTGGGTCTGCTTCTGTCCAGCGGACAGGACATGAGGAATGTGCCGAGGAGGCAGCTGGTAACCCGTTCCAGAATCCCCTCCTCCTGCCTCAGGGAGGGGTCGGAAGTCTGTGGCTAAAAACACCTGTTCTCCTTTGTTCTGTCTGGGGCAGCTGAAGGAAGACAGATGTTCATGAGACAGTCTAGCCTTAATCTCCCCAAACCTCAGTTTTCTGGGAAAAATGAAGCTTGAAATTTCTGTCTCCCGGAGTTCTTATTTGTAATTCAAAGAAATAATATCCAAAGGGCCAGTAGAGTGTGTGCCAGATCATGATTCTCAGTCAAGGTTAGTATCCCTCTCTCTTTCCTCTCCTCTCTTCTCTGTCTCCCCAACAAATCGGTAGCAATTTCCTCTTCCCCCTTCATTCCTGTTGAGAAACCCAGCAGGCCTCCCTGGGTCCCCTTGAGGGGGTCCTCCCCTGTACCTGCTGTTCCCTCCAGTACCAAGGAAATCTTCCTCACCTTTCAGAGTTTCATCAAGGAGGCTCTGATGTAAAATCTCCTCGTAGACATTTTCCACATGAATCATATGGGTGTGATCTGCAAAAATGAACTGCTCATATTTCTGGAGCTCCTGGACAGTGAGAGATAGGGAGACGGAGGACAAGGCATGAGATGCCAGTTTGTAGAGGAGGTACAGGGAGCATGACCCCCCTCTTTGGAGTGTGGGGCACTCAGCCACTGGTCATCCCCTTTCCCTTCCCCAGCCACCGAGGCACGATGTGTACTTGAGGGGTGTAGACAACACAGATTTTAATCATCTCAAGGCCCTGTCTGCAGGTCCGTGGGTCTCAAGGCCCTCCTTTTTTTCCATCACAACCAAAATGTTCCCTTTTCCCGCTTTCCCCCCTTTAAACTCCAACAGTACTTTACCAAGGTATAAGTCACACACAGTAAAATGTACACATTTCACAAGTACATCTCAGTGGTTTTAAATATATAACTATACCCATGGAACCACAACCCAGATCAAGATAGAGAAAATTTCCAACACCCTGTGCCTTTTTCCAGTCTACACCCCCAACAAGAGATAGGCACTACTCTGATATATATCACAACAAATTTGTTTTCCTAATTTTTTTTTTTTTTTGAGAGAGAGAACACATGTGGTGGGGGGAGGAACAGAGAGGGAGGGGGAAAAGAGAATCTTAAGCAGGCTCCATGTCCAGCAGTGAGCCTGACACCGAGCTCCATCTCATGACCCTGAGATCAGGATCTGAGCCAAAGGCAGATGCTTAACCGACTGAGTCACCTGGGTGTCCCTAGTTTTTCTAATTTTTGAACTTTACACAAATTGAATCACATATTCTTGTGTGTTTGGCTTTGAGATTCATCTGTGTTGCTGCATGTATCAGTAGCTCATTCCCTTTTATTGATAAAAGACATTCATTATATGGATAAACTAAAATTGTTTAACTAACCTCCTATCAATGGTGTTGAGATTTGTTCATTTTTTAACTGTTATGAATATAATTGCTATAAATGTTTCTGTGCATGATTTTTTTTTGGATTTAAGGACTTTTTTTTATCTTCAGTGTATACCTAGAAGTGAAATTGCTGGGTCCTGGACTAGATGTATGTTTACCTGTATTAGAATGGGACCCTTTCTGGGTATGGAAACTCTCTCGCCAAAGACTCTTCAGGAACATCTCCTCTTTCCCTCCAACTGGCCCTGACAGTCATTGATTCCCTCTAAGACAACCCAGGCAGGATGCATAATCCTTTAACCCTTCCTGCTCTCTGAGGGTTTCCAGATGGCTTGAGGTCAGGGTAGGGATCAAAATGCACCAAATCACATGCCAGTGATTAACTCAGTAATCCTTACGGCTAAGGGTGCTCAAAGGGCCCCAAGATCCAGGGCTTTAGCAGTGGGATTTGATGCCTTTTGCCTGAAGGGACAGGATTTTCAGCAGGTGATCAGAAGCCACCATGTGCAGACCATTCAGTGCTAGGACTTGGGGGCCCAGGCCCAGATCACAGCAGGTCATAATGAGGTCCCTTTATACCCACCCCAGAGCAAAGCTAGAGGATTGGACAGACGTGAGCTTGCAGGATCCTGAGCGGGTCTGTGAGGCGGGACGGACACACAGATGAGAACTGTGTGGAAAGAGCACTGGCCAGGAGGCTGGACGCTGCCCTGGATTCGCTGCGGGATCCGAGCCAGCCATGTCACTGCTCCAAGCCTCTCTCGGCCTCTGCAAAGCGAGGGCCACAGGCTCAGTTCTGCAACACCCTTTCCTCTCCCTAGGTGGTCTCCCACTCTTTATTTCCCTGGTTCCTGCCTCAGGACTGGGCGAAAACATGACTCTGGGAAGTCTTCCCTGACCCCATAAGCAGCGCTGGGCACCCGGCTCGGAGCTCTGGCCAGCCCTCTTTCCCATAGACTACTGCTGTGCTCATCCACTGCGGGCCCGCTGCCTGAGAAGCCTACGAACTCCCGGACGGCAGGGACGCTGGCCTGGCACAGCGCCTGGATCATATCTGATACATAGTCAGTACGTGTTTGCTGAAGAAGCAGTAGACCTTTGAAATTTTCAACAGCTAGGGGTGCCTGGGTGGCCTAGTTGGTTAAGCGTCTGACTCTTGGTTTCGGCTCAGGTCGTGATCTCAGGGTCGTGAGACTGAGTCCTGAGTCGGGCTCTGTGCAGTGCAGAGTCGGCTTGGGATTGTCTCTCTCTCTGCCTCTCCCCTCTGCTTGCAACTCTCTCTCTCTCTAAAATAAATAAATCTTAAAAAAAATTTCAAACAGCTAAATAAGTTTGTGGGAAGGAACAATTTTCTAGGGATGTTTATACCACTGTGACATGTCCAGCTTTGTAACATAGGTCTTCTATATTGAACTGACTAAACTGTGACATATGTTTAATTCCTTGGAGCAATTTAATTGGAATCCCTCAGGGCGGGTCTTGGGGAATCAGAATTTTTTTTTTTACAGCTCCCCAGGCAATTTCACTGGGCACCCTGGACTGAGTACCAGAGATCTAGGAAGCTGTGATTTGAAGAACAAAGGGAAACATATGTTAGTAAAATAAAGAATCCTTCAGTGGAGCAGATAATCCCTTAATTTATCCGTTCTGTAAATCCAGATTTTAAGAAATCTCTTGGCACTGAAATCATATCCTTCATTACTGAAAACTTGGGGTCTCAGTTTCTTTGGAAACCAATCTTTCTTGATTCAAAGATCCCAAGAGCATTTTACAGATTGGGTACAACTCTGCTGATGTGTGGAAAAAGGGAACAGACGATGGGGCACCTGGGTGGCTCAGTCGTTAAGTGTCTGCCTTCGGCTCAGGTCATGATCCCAGAGTCCTGGGATCGAGCCCCACGTCGGGCTCCCTGCTCAGTGGGAAGCCTGCTTCTCCCTCTCCCACTCCCCCTGCTTGTGTTCTCTCTCACTGTCTTGTTCTCTGTCAAATAAATAAATAAAATCTTAAAAAAGGGGGGGGGAACAGACAAGAAAGGGGGATTTTCTTTGCCCTTCTCTTCTTCTGGGAGGAAGTGGCTCGGAGGCCCCTAAATTGCCTCTGGGATTGAAGAACATCCTAAGTAGAATGTCTGTGTGCAGACGCATCCAGAGGTAGACAAAGTCATCCTTTGGGCGGCTAAACTTTTCCATCCACACATGGCCGAAGGACAATCATATAGACAGACTCTTTATTCCCGTGGCTTGATCAAACTCCCAGAAATAAAGGTCAGGTACTAGATATGCCAAGACTCTAAAGACAAAAGCATTTATAGAATATAAAAATAACCAAAGAAATTTCTGTAGTAAAATAACTTATGCCAAGGATTTTAATGTTCCAATTCTTGGAGACCCTCTACGCTGCCCAAAAGTCCTTTTGAAATTCTAATAAGCTCTTTATGATTTGCTCCAATAGGGAGAAGGCACTGAAAATGTCCAGGCTCATAGATCATTTCTGAAACATAGAAATAGTAATAGTAGTCATATATATTATTCACTGAGTGCACACCTTGTTATCAGCAAATACGAGCTGAGTGCAAACTCTGGTGGTTATCAGATCTGTGACTTTGGGCCCATTACTTAATCCTCAAGTTTCCCCACTTGTACAACTGAGGATATAAATAGTACTTCCTCCTCAAGTTGTCATGAGAATTATTGAGATAATCCATACAAAGTGTGTTTAACATAGTGTCTAACACATGGTCAACACTCATCAAATATTAATAATTTAGTCCCCTCAATCTTAAGAAAGGCACTGCAAAATGTATCATTTTCATTTTCTAGAAGATGGAATCTAGGTCAAGAAAGAGGAAAAGTGACTTGGCCAAGGCCCCAGAGCCAATACATGGAGGAACCAGGACTTGAACCCAGGTCTTAGACCTGCCTCCATAAGTGGCTCACCCATGGCTCTGCTCTGCAGACCAAGTCACAGCTTCATAATCATGACTATCACTGGTAGCAGCTTTAAATGGTTTCTGTTTCACTGACTTCACAAAACAAACATTAAAAGAAAAAAATATCCGGGCGCCTGGGTGGCTCAGTTGGTTAAGCGACTGCCTTCGGCTCAGGTCATGATCCTGGAGTCCTGGGATCGAGTCCCGCATTGGGCTCCCTGCTCAGCAGGGAGTCTGCCTCTCCCTCTGACCTCCTTCCCTCTCATGCTCTCTCTCTACCATTCTCTCTCTTTCTCAATAAAAAAATAAAAATCTTTAAGAAAAAAAAAAAGAAAAAACATCCTTCTGTAATTGGGTTACTTACGGTCTTTCCCTGGACGTAGTGGTCAAGTTTGAGGACAGGTGGTACCCATGAGTTATACTATGACGAGGAGCACTTGGTGTCCTCAGGTGCTCTATGACAACCCTCAGTTTGGCTCAAAGTCAGATCATCACCTTTGAGATTCTGTCTAGTCCAAAGGTTGGCAAATCTGGCAGCTGCTTACTTTTGTAAATAAAGTTTTATTGGGACATAGAAGCACCCATCGTTAATGTATGCTCTTGCACTTAGCAGAGCTGAGAAGTTGCAACAAAAACAGTACGACCCACGAAGCCTAAAATCTTTACTATCTGACCATTTGCAGAAGAAGTTTGCCGACCCCTCACTGGTCTAGTCTACTGATTGCAAGCACATTCTAGCAAAAGAACTTGCTTGAACTTCACAGCAATAAAAGCAGGCTCTCTGGAGTAAGCCATCCTCTTACGGGTTTGCACGTGGATGCCAGTGCCTTCTGAACGGTGGGAAGTGTGATTTGAACCAGTGCCTCTTGAAATATCCTCTTCCGGATGGTGCTGCTGTCATAATCATATTGCTGTCAATACAGAGATAGAAACATGTGCTAAATAGCAACATTGCAATCTGTTAACTTTTGCTTAAACAAAAACTCAGTCACTCACTTGTCTCCCTTTTCCCATTTCTGAGGACACTTATGGTGTTTCCAAGGTCTCAAAGATCTTACTATGCAATTCTCTCATACTTTGGGTAGAGGGTATGACCATTAATGACCCATCTTACCCTCCCCTTTTACAGATAGGGAAACTGAGGCAAGATCAAAACAGTAACTTCTGCATTATAAAGAAGTTAGGGACAGAAATGGGGGGTGAGTTTGTATGTCATCACCCCTGTCCTGGGTGGGTCCATAGGAGCCAAGATCATCTGCTTCCTTCACTTTACATCCAAGAAGCAGGATGAGTGGGTTGTAATGATTTCCACAAAGGAAGGGAGGGTGTGGCTCATAGCTACCCTAACACTGTGGCATGTTAACCGAAGAAGTTTAGTATCCAGACCAAGAAAGATGTTGATTCACTTTTCTGCATGGAATATTCAAACCTAGAGACTTGAGTTTGGTTTTAGACGACCCTTTAAGAGTATCACAGATGCTCTGGAACACACTCACAGGCATGTGAGCAGAACGGTCAGGCCAAATAAAGAATGGTTCGTGAGATGAAGGTATTTCTACTGGAGATGATAACTTTGGGCAAAATTATAGCTCTATTCAAACAACAAAAGGCTACTGTGTGGAAGAAGGACATGAACAGAGAGAACAGAACGAGAATCACCAACAGTGTCAACTTTGGCTTCACATTAGGAAGCATGTTCTTGCAGTAAAAAGTGTCCAGAGAAGAAATGGATTGTCCAGGGAGGTCTAAAGTGTCCTGACACTGGAGGTGATATTGACATTGATACTATCTTTTCTTTCCAATTGCGAGTTCATTATTACTTGTGTTCCCATAATAAATATTGCTTTTGTTATTTTTTTATTTTTTAAAAGATTTTATTTATTTATTTGTCAGAGAGAGAGAGAGCAAGCACAAGCAGGGGGAGCGGCAGGCAGAAGGAGAAGCAGGTTCCCCGCGTAGCAAGGAGCCTGATGCGGGACTCGATCCGAGAACCCTGGGATCATGACCTGAGCCGAAGGCAAATGCTTAACCGACTGACCCACACAGGTGCCCCATAAATATTGCTTTTAATCTCAGTGATTTGGTTGCCATTGTGTCCTACTGCCTACGAGGTATTAAGATTGGGTCTAAAATTCAGGGACCACTTCCTAGGCTCTGTGGAACTTTAATCTTCTGCTCCAAGGCACTGTTTAGGGGGATAGGTAGTAAGAAATTAGCGGACTAAATTTAAGAATTGTTTTAGCTCTAGGCTCACCACTGAGTAGCCTGTTGAGCTTAAGTAAGTCACATTAGCTCTTAGAGTCAGTTTCCTCATCTCTATAATGGAGATATATTCTAATTATCTCACAAGTCCTTGTGAAGATCAAACAAAACACGGTAGGTTAAAAACAAAACAGCTTTAAAAATAGACCATATATGTGCAAGCTGCTATTATTAAAACCATTTTGATAAATACTTAAGCAGTACGCACATTAAAAACAATTTCAGGGGCGCCTGGGTGGCTCAGTCATTTAGGCGTCTGCCTTCGGCTCAGGTCATGGTCTCAGGGTCCTGGGATCAAGCCCCACATTTGGCTCCCTACTCAGCGGGGAGTCGGCTTCTCCCTCTCCCTCTGCCCACGACTCGTGCTTTCTCTCTCTCTCTCAAATAAATAAATAAATAAAGTCTTAAAAAAAATTCATATGGCAGGTGTCTTTTTTTTTTAGAGTATTTCTTTTGCCAGGAGATTTTGATTTTTCTAAAAAATGCTGGCTAATTTAAATGGGTTTTACTATATTGTAAACTCTTTGAAGAAGGAAACTGTGCCTTGCCTATTTTTACATTTTATGTAATATCTATCACAACGCTTTGCTTAGCGTGGACACTCAATAAATTCATAGCAATTGCTATGAATGCCAATAAATATCAAGTGCAATTGCTCTGTGAAGGACAGGTCACTTCGAGCTGATGGACAAGAATCCCGAGGACCCGTGGTCCCTAGAGTTGCCACTAGATGGCAGAATAGGCACGAAAGTCACGCTGGGGGCCTAGTGGTGCCGTAGCCATTGCTACTTCAGGCAGGGAAAGGGAGCAGGATTACAAACAGAGAGGGTGAAGGACAGAATTTGGTATTTTCCACTTAACAAAAGAAGCAGGGGGTCATACTTGTTTTACGCTTCCCACAAATGAAAGGTTTTACCTTTAAGACTCGGAGCTTAACCTTCTCGATGGCGACTGCAGTTTTGGAGGCCTCTCCTTGGAGGTGTGGGGAAAGCAACTGCTCGAAAGTGAATACTGCATTCTCCATTAGCTAGAAACCAAAAGCAACACAGAACAGCGCCCGGTCAGAGGCCAGGGTCTCTACCCTGGAGCAGGGAGGGGATGACCATCAGAGTGTCCCCTAGGCACTACTCTGGGGCCACCGAGGGCAACAGGTCCTCAGCCCCCTACCTGGGTTATTAAAGAGGCACCTGGCCACAGTGGGATCAGTAAGAGTCTGGGAAATAACACACACTCACACACCTATGTATGTATGCATACACGTATTTTTTCCCTCCTCTTTTCTCCTTACGCTCTGAGCTGCAAAACCCATGGAGGCCATGGGATTGAGAATACCACCCTCTCCTGTGGTCAGCCCCTTCCTCTGGTCTCTGGTTCCTGCAGCCCGGGCTTGACAAAGGGAGGTGGGAGGCTTCTCCAGTTATTTCTTGGCGGCTTTAATCGTGCACTGCCACTTTGCGGGGGGTGGGGGTTGCAAACCAGTCCAGCACACCTCTCTGCACTTAGCCTACCCCCTCACTTCTCTTCCTTGCTCTGCCAGGCTGGAAGGGAGGCAGGGTCGGGGCTTGGTGGGCCCAGAGGCTGATGCGCTGATGGGGTAGGAAATGGAAATGATTGCGATTTCTTATTCTCTGCACCCATACCTGTATCTGTTTCACCAGGGTTCAGTATTACCAAAGAGGGACTTCTGTTAAACTGCTGCCCAATTTTGTTTCCCCAGTCCGTCTTTAATCCTTCACAACTCAGAGGTTAGATAATAAGGTGTACCACTTAATCCGCCCTATAACTTATAAGGAACAAACGTTCCTTTCTTCCCCAAGCTTCTGATCCCAAAGCATGAACACATAGCTTTGTCCAGCACTCTCAACACTATAGTGACCTTATCTAAGCATCTGTCTCTGAAGGGGGGGGTCTGGCACAGTGCTGGCCCCTGAGTGAGCTCCCCCCAGAACACCCCTGAAATAGAATCGTGCTCTTTTGGCTTCAGTGATCACACCCTTCTTCATTCAGAAAGCACTATAGTAAGGAAAGAATCTGTACTTGTTCCTGGAGAAAAAGTTCCTTGTGGGGGGAAAAAAGGGAACCTATCAAGTAGACCCAAGAGATCCAAATATGAAGCCATGATTGATTGACTGATTTACTCTTAACCGGGTTAGGGAATTAACGTAAGCCGGTAGTTCTCTCTTCTGGCTTCATATTAGAAGCAGTGGGAATGCGAGTGGGGGAAAATTTCTGCGAGTGGGGCCTAGACGTCAGCATTTCTCAAAAGCTCCCCAGACGATTCTCATGTGCAGCCAAGGTTAAAAGCGCTGGTTTGGCAAATCAAGTAATTATCAATTAATGCTACCTGATTTCCCTGAAAAATTTTTTGCTTTCTGATGTTCATCAACATGGAAGAAAGATGAAGCCAGCTGGAACGACCAAGGATGTTCTCAACTCAACATGATGACGACTGCGAAGGGCCCCACTGCCAAGAGTTGCACCAGCACCCCAGCCTCGCTGGCCAGCCCTTGTTTCTCTGCTGTCTCCATCCTCACCCTCCCACGGAGGCTCCTGCCACTCCCACCTCCTGCATGTCGTTCTGTGTCCTCTGGACCACCAGATCCACGTGGGGGAATCGGAAGCGGCTCTTGAGATCCTGCAAACGCTCCTGAAGCAGGTTGACTTTACTGTAACAAGGTTCCATCTTCATGGAATCCAGTGGAAGATTCATGAGCTGGTCTAGATGCTGCATTTTGGTGAAGGGAAACATTGAATACCTTCAGACTCAGGAGCAAGATTACATGCATATTCCATATTACATAAATTCTAAATGATCAAATGTACGATAGCAGAGTGAATCACTTCTCAAATCACTGCATCTGTGACATTTCAACTGTCTTACTTGCCTCCTTCAGGGGTCCCTGGGGCAGCTCTATTGCTAGGGCAGAGAATGGTAGAGGAACCCACTGGATGACGGGAGGACCCCTGGGGGGGTCCAATCTTAGCTCTTGATGGACTTGGAGCTCCGACTTGCAGAGCTTGAGAACTAGGTAGGCAGGCTTTTAGGCACTTGGAATTGCTGCTGGGCCCCCGGGACCTCCAAAGCCTTCTTTAATGGGGTCAGGATGCCCCTGGACCCCGGGACTCTGGGAATGAGGCCAGAATCTCCACAGTTCTCTGAGGCTCTGTCAGGGCTCACGGGGGCTTCCTCTGCCATAGGTTCTCTATGGGGCTAGTGGGTGTGGAGGTAGGTGGTGGGAAGAGGCCTGGCCTGGGAGATGCAACCCGTTAAAAAACCGGGATCCCTTCTCCTCTGGTTTGCACAAGCAATGAAGCCACAGGGCTTCCAACAAGAGGGCAGCAATGGGCCTCCTCTGCTAAAGACGTCAGGTTTTACCAACACATGCTCACACCATGAGTGTTGTTGCCAACAGAATGCCTTCTATTTTCCAAGCTGATTTTCAAATAATTTTAAAAATTGAATACCAGATATCTAGAAGAAACAGGTGGGTGGGCAGCGAAAGAGAAGATAGACAGGTGCTAAAAATGGATGCCCAGGGAGAACTGGGGAGTAACACAGGGTGAGTGTGAATCATAGAGGATGTGCTGCCTGATTTCCAAGTCACAGAAAAGAGACAAAGCTCAAGTTCTAGGTGTCTCTAAATAGGAATTCTTAAAGGGCCCATTCTCATTGTGTTTGTAAAGAGAACACATCAGTCTCCTTGAGAAGTGAGTTGTGGGGAGCCGCACTGAGGTAGAATTAATGATCAAACGCACAAGATCAAACTTGTCCCTCCTCACACAATATGAAATGTATCTATTTTTAAGAAATAACAATTAAGCAGACAAGAGAGGAAAAGTGGGCTGCTGCTTTGCTCCTATCAGACGGGCCAAAGTTTAAAGGAGTGGTACCGCCTACTGCTGATGAGCATATGGGGAAGAAAGTCCTCTGCCATACACAATGGACGGAAATGTAAAATTTAAATCCTTTTTTTTTTTTTTTTAAAATGCAAATGGTAACATCTGTTAACAGGAGAAATAAAGCCACCTTTCAACCTAGCCATCCTGCCTTAGGAATCTATCCCACAGGAATGAAAGCACCAGAGTATAATATATGTAACAAGGTTATTTATTACAGCTTTGTCCATGATGCCAGGAACATTTGGATAGCTGAATAAATCATGGTGCATTCAGACATGAAATATTATGTAGCATTACAAAGAATGATTTAGAGCTAGAGCAGCTAACTTGAAGACAGTTTCGCGAGGTATTTTTTGAATGAGAACACTGATAAAGAGTAGGATTTGTAATACAATCCCATTTTTTAAAGAGCAAACAATCTGGAAAAATAAAAAAAAAAAAACAGCCCATAAATGTGTATGTTTTAGGGGCACCTGGGTGGCTCAGTTGTTAAGCACCTGCCTTCGGCTCAGGTTATGATCCCGGGGTTCTGGGATAGAGACCCGCATTGGGCTCCCTGCTCGGTGGGAAGCCTGCTTCTCCCTCTCCCGCTCCCCCTGCTTGTGTTCCCTCTCTCGCTGTCTCTCTCTCTGTCAAATAAATAAATAAAATCTTAAAAAAAAATATGTATGTTTTATAGCTATATAAGCAGGGGGAAAAGAAGGGGGAAAAGTACAGAATGGTATATGCTAAGATGTTAACACTAGTTACTTGAAGGGATGTGGGTAGTGGGGGAGAGGGGAAGAGGGACAGTAAAGTCAAGTTTTAAAAAAGGTTGTGAAAAGGAACGTCAAAATATTTATAAAATGTGTCTTGTTTATGTATAATTACATGTGTATGTATGCATAAATAAATAAGAAAGGGGGGAAAAAGAGAGGTATCTGGTTTTATCCACGGACTGACAGTGATATGTCAAGTATAAGCCAAGCTGCCACATTATGTGAGTGATTCCTGAACTTTAGGGTACCTCACATCCTCGGGAGGCCTTGTGAAACAGAATGCTGGGCCCTACCCCCAGAGTTTCCGATTCAGTAGATTGCTGGTGGGGGCCTGAGAATTTGCATTTTTAACAGCCAGCTGATGACACTACCCGTCCGGGGACCACACTTTGAGAAACATTGTTTTCATCACAAGTCTATATTTTTGGAAACAAATCAACAAACAAAATTTATATCAAGAGGATATATGCTTCTACATTTGTATGAAGAAGAAACAAGTATGTGAAAACACATTCTAAGTTATTTATATTAGTTAATTCAGGGAGTTGGGAGTGGAGGTAGCCTAGCAGTTGGGGTGGGCATGGGTTGATATGGGAAACAAAAGCAGAAGAAAAATATTTAATTTCCTTACTACCTACAGCCCATTGACAAGTCCTTGAAACAGGCAGAGTGACATTCCTCTAGGGACTCAACTGCCCCGATGTTGATGCTTTGCTAAGGGCAAAAGACAATCCTAGCCCGACCCCCACTCCATGATCCTGTAAGTCTACTTTTATATATAAAAATTCCTTTGGAAACTTTCTTTACCTCTACTCCCCCAAGATACATGCTGGCAGTCATCCCCCAAGCATATGACCCACCAATATACATCTGAAGGTCTCATGACTCAGGTTTTATTAGACAGAAATAAATGACCTTTTCCCAACAATAGCTAGCCCCTTCAAGGTCCTGGAAACCTTGCTTCCAAAATTCTTCAGAGACTTATGCTATCCCTAACCCCCTCCCAACTTGAAAATATATAATGGGTCACTCCTCATGACACCCACGAAGCTCTTTCTGTCCACAGGTCCTGTCCCCATGCTTTTTAATAAAACCACCTTTTTGCACCAAAGATGTCTCAAGAATTCTTTCTTGGCCGTCGGCTTCGAACCCTAACCTCTTTCCTACATCATGGGTGATCAATTTTGCCCATATATATTTTTTGTCTATATATACATATTGTTTCACTTGCACAAGCACATTATTAGTTTTGCAACTTGAAAAACATTAATAAAGGAAATCAGGTGAATGTATAGATAAATGGGGTGGCTGGCTGAATGAAAGAAATAGATGAATGGATAGAAAGAAGCGGGGGAGGGAGGAAGAAAGGAAAGGAAGGAATGCACAAATGCAGATAAAGGCCCAAGAGAAAGGCAGCCCCAGGCAGGCCATTCACACTCAGTTCCTTGGCTCCATATCTTACCTCCTTAAGCTGGGCACTGTCTTTGGTGGTCTGAAAGTTCTGGTTAAGTTCATCCACCTCTTTTTCAAAGAGTGAGCGTACTTCACTGAATCCTGAGCTCACCGGCCCCATGAGTTCCTCCAGAATGGATGCCAAGAATGGTTGCACACTTTCCGCACAGCTTCTTTCTGCAGGCTGGGCCACCATGGCTGAGATAGGAAAAAGGCAGAAAACCATCACTTACTATGGGCAAAATTGGGTTCAAAGTCCCTGGAGCCAGGCCAGGGGTGGGCAGTGCCCCAGAGAGCCATTTAACAGCCCAGGCAAGCTCAAACAGGCAAGACAGACCAGCACAGAGAGTCCCAGGCCAGCATTCACCAGAATGGAAAACCATTAGATGTTTTTAGAATTGGAACAAACAATCCCTCCCCTCCCCAAGCTTTCCTCTGCCCTGGGATGAAGTGCATTTTTCTGTGTGGTCCCTATGATCACGCAATGCCTAATAGAAAACAGAAAATGCTGGTGATCCACCTATTTATTATCAGCATCATCGTTATATATGCGTAATTTGTCTTCTAAAAAACACAATTTCCTAAGTTTTTAAATTGAGGTATAACTTATGTGTAACATTGTATTAGTTTCAGTTGTACAACATAATGATTCAATATTGTATATAACAATTTATTAAGTTTTAATTTCTTTAAGAGTTAATCAGCTCATAGAATTCAATTCCCCTCTCCCCTCCTCAAGAGACGTTTTAAAAACTCAAACACAGTCTTTTCTTGGGCAAACAGAAACAAATTTCATTCAAAACAAATACCACCCCACCTCCCACTCCCACACCCAATTTTTTTTTAAAGGCTATTTTTTTCCCCCGATAATCACGGAAAACATGCACGGTGACAAAAATACAGAGAGCACAGAAAAATCATAAAGAGGGATGAAAGAAATGTAACCACACTTCCTGGAGGCAAATCCTGCCCTTTGATTTAAAAAAGGAAGAGCCCTGGGGTGCCCGAGTGGCTCAGTCGTTAAGCGTCTGCCCAGCATCGGGCTCCCCGCCCTGCGGGGGGAGCTTAAAAAAAAATGTGTATGTTTTATAGCTATATAAGCAGGGGGAAAAGAAGGGGACTTGCTTGGTACCAAAATGCAAAGAGAAGCCTGCTTCTCCCTCCCCCGCTCCCCCTGCTTGTGTTCCCTCTCTCGCTGTCTCTCTCTCTCTGTCAGATAAATAAATAAAATCTTAAGAAAAAAAAAAGTAAAAGAGGAAGAGCATAGTAAAGATGCTCATTCAGGAAGTCTGCAGAGGACGTGGAAATCTGCATTTTTTTAAAAGTGCTAAGGTGAAGGTCATGATTAGCCAGGTTTAGAGGCAGGTCTAGTGCGGGAAGGCTAAACCGGAACAGGACTGAGCTTGCTCTGGACACTGGAAGGTTCGCCGTGTGGCTCTGGTTAAGTCACATGGCCCTTGTCATAGGACCGCAGGACCAACAAAGGAAATACAAGCACATCTGGGTGTCCAATCCATTTTATTACGTGGAAAATCAGAGGCCTGGAGATGTCCGAGGGCTTGACCAAGGCCAAACCCTAATTTGCAGATCGAGGACTATACTTCAAGTGTATTTCTTAATCTTTTATTGGCAAATAAGGTGCTTAGAGTGAGATGAATGGGCACGTTCTTCTTTTAGTTTGCAGAAATATTTCACAGGTATGGAGGATCAGACTGCCTCTTGGAGAATCTGAGATGACTATTCATATTATGAATAATTCACAAATATTTGGCATGTAAAATATTAAAGAGGTCATAGAACTGCTAGGGAAAAAAAAACCTTTTGATTGTATGATTTAAATATGAAACGATCTATGACTTCTAAAAATGACTTGCTTGGTACCAAAATGCAAAACTGCATGTCGGGAGAATAAATGAATTATTAATCAATTAACTTGGAGAGAAGGACTGTTTGAAAAGCACCTGACTGAAATTTCAGAATAATCATGAACACAGGTAACATGCAGTAAAGATTTGGTGGCAGATGGCGGGTTTCACCTACTGAGCGGGGAGAAAATGGACACGGGCAGGGGTGGAGAGCCTGCTCCCCTCTGCCTGCTCTCCGCTGATGTCTGCGTACCAGCAGGGGCTGCAGCCTCCTCTCCGCGCCTTCATTCAGTGCTCCTTTCCCCTGGGCCTTCCTTCCTCCACCTCTGCTTGTGAACAACCCACTCACCTCTTCAAGACCCAGTACACACTTCACCCACTCAGACAGCCAAATGCCCTTGGCACCACCATGAGGCTCCCTGAGCTGTGAGCTGCCTGCTGGTGCTTCCTTCCAGATGGAATACATTCAACACCCCGCATGGACACGCTCTGCTGACTTCCAGGCATGTCAAGACGCCATTGTGAAGAATACTGTTCGGTGACACATGGATTCATAAACTCAACCAGAAGTTAGGGAGCACAGGGATGAAGACGGAAAGTGTTGGGATTAGAGGGGTTTGGAGCCTGACTCAGTTTTGGAATCTGGCCAAGTTACTTAATCTCTGCTTCAGTGTTCTTATCTGGGAGGTGGAGATCACGGGACGCATGACTTCTGGGGGCTGGGGCGACGATGAAGCAGGCTTACTGTGTTCGGCTGCTTGGAACCGTAGGTGGCACTCAGGAAGCACTCCCGGACTGTGAGCCCTTGTCCCACCTGTTGGCATCATCATTTTTCCCCATCAACTGACACAAAAACAGCGTTATTGTTATAAGGAGACCACAGTGTTTTTTGAAGCTGAAATAGTTCCTGGCTGGGAACCACAGTGTCCTCTGTTCCTGCTTCTCTTATGGCACCTTTCCCGTTTCTTCCCTGCTGTTTCAGAATCTGCAACATGTCTCATATCCTCTTGTTGTAAAATCATGCTGTCTTTGTTGAATCCTCGTAGCCCTTGTATTCAGTAGGAGCAGGATAAATGTTTATTGAGTGAATAAATATTGTGAGGCAGGACTAAAGATTGGTTGCTTGACTCTCAAGAGTCATATGGGAGGTAATGGAAAGATCACTGCTTAATACTCCCAAAATTCTTTCAAAATCCAAAGCCCTTTATTGATGCAGTCTGAAGTATACAGTTGATCCTTGACCAATGCCGAGGTTAGGGGTGCTGACCACCCCCTGTGTCATTGAAAATCTGTGTATAACTTCTGACTCCCCCAAAACTAAATAGCCTACTGTGTTGAACAGAAGCCTTACCCATAACATAAACAGTTGACGAACACATATTTTGTATGTTGTGTGTGTTATATACTGTATTCTTGCAATAAAGTAAGCTAGAGAAGGGCACCTGGGTGGCTCAGTCAGTTAAGCATCTGCCTTTGGCTCAGGTCATGATCCCAGGATCCTGGGATCGAGCCCCATATCGGGCTCTCTGTTCAGCAGGGAGCCTGTTTCTCCCTCTCCCTCTGCCTGCTGCTCTGCCTGCTTGTGATCTCTCTCTCTCTGTCAAATAAATAAAATCTTTAAAAAAAAGAAAAAGCTAGAGAAAATAAAATGTTACTAAGAAAATCATAAGGAAGAGAAAATATATTTACAGTACTGGACTGAATTTATCCAAAAAAAACCCCACCTATATGTGTGCAGTTCAAACCCATGTTGTTCAAGGCTCAACTGTACTTTATTGTTTAAAGGTGGAGAACCAGAGGCTCGGTTAAAATGTGTTTCTGATATTCCCTTGTAAAAAGACTTGATCATGACTTCCTTTCAAAGATCCTTTTAGGAAACAAAGACTAGTCTAGGGCAGAGTGTTTTTTGCATCTTATGTGGGATATACTGGAGCCACAGAGACTAGTCGAGAGAGAGAGAGAAAAACTGGCTGAATTTGGGCCAGGAGAATGGCCACAGTGAGGCCCAGTGAGGCCCAGCTCCCTGGAACATGGGCTCAGGAGTTGGGTGCTGGCAGTTTTAGGTTGTATAAGTACTTCAATATAGTCAATTCCAGATCAGTTGTGCTAACGGAGGAATGGATAATAGTAAAGACACAATGCTTAGGTTAATTTATGTGCCTCAGAAGGCACCACATGAACGGTCATGCACGGAAACAGACAGGCACATCCTTGCTATAGTCATGCCTCCTCTCTACTCTCTCTCAGAAGAACCGGCTGGAAGGGCTCGGAGGTGAGCTGGGCTGCAGTGTGAATGGGGCCTGAAGGGCAGAGGATAATCCACCAAGAAGACAACCCCTGTCAGGTTCTAAGTCTCTTGAGTACAGGAACTGAGTCTCCTGTTCACTGCTAAAGCTCCAGCACCTTGCTCAGAAAGCACTTAGTACACATTTTTTCAATGAGTGAGCGAGCAAGTGAGCAAGTGAGTGAAGACTCTGAAAATTGACAATATAAGAAGATTGCTGATAAACAATCACAGAGGAACCAGCATACTTCTCTGAAATGACAGTGTGCTGTGCTTGTTGGGATGTAGGAATTAACATTTAACATGTTATCCTATAGAATTCCTTAGAGGCCATCTCAGGCCTCTTGTGAGGGCACAGGCAACCATTTTTCTGTCAATGGTCAGATTGCGAACATTCGTGACGTTGCAGCCCAGGAGGTCTCAGTTGCAACTACTCAACTCTGCCTTGAAGCATGAACGCAGCCACAGACAATACATAAATGAACGGGCATGGCTGTGTCCCGATGAAATGTTATTTACAGAAATAGGCGGTGGGCCCAATTTGGGTTGGGGCCACAGTTGGCAGATCTCCCTCTCAAGGCCCCTCCTGATGACAGAGGAGGACACTAAGGCACATAGAAGTCAAGTGACCTCCCCAAGTACACCTGACGGGCCAATGCTGCACTTATGACTAGAATCTACATTTATCAACTCTAAGTCAATTTTCTTCTTGTGAAAAGAAAATCCATTTATTCACCCATTCAAGTATTCGCTGAGAATCGGAATATACCAGGCATGGTACTAGGCCCTGGGTGTGCCTGAGTGAAACAGGGGCCACATGGTCCTGTTCTTAGCTTATAGCAGAGGAGGGGCGTGCGTAGAAGCCAATACAATGAGCGTAAGAAGTGCTGCAACAGGGCAGGGGTGGGCTGAATCAGAATATGCAGGCACCGCCACAGGCAAGAAGCAAACTCTCCTCCACTCTGTGTCCCTGAAGTCTCCCTGGGAAGGTCCAGGCCCTTACTTGCATGTCCCCTTTACACCTGTTCTCAATTCTTCCCAATTCCGTCAGTTCAGTTTTCCTTTGAAATCATGAATTCTGACTACATGGTGGAGCCCTACACGCACAGCTTATTGAGCTGTAGGAGCATGGATTATTTCCACTGACCTTTGATCTTTCCAATCAAGAAGTTCTTTGAGTTCATGATCTGATCCATGTCCGAACGGATGGTTCCCTCCAGGCCCTTCGTCAGAGCGCGGCACTCCTCCTTTAAGGCACTTAATCCTTCTGAAACTTGATGCCGAACCAGGTTGTAGGCCTCCTCAAGAAGCTGTAACAGAGAACAGCACAGAAATCAGGGGCTCCGTCATGTGCGAGCGCCGGCGGGAGCCAAGTAAAGGGAGGAGGGCTAACCACAGATTATCTTAACATAAACACAACTGCAGGCACACTCTAATTTTTCTTTCAAGGTTTGAGTCTGTTTGGATTAGTCTTCATGTAAGTGAGACTGAGCAGACTCAAGGTAGGCAGTTCTCCACCCAGGGAAGGAATTATTTTAAAAAAACGAAAGAAGAAGAAGAAGAAGAGAAAGGAAGGAAGGAAGGAAGGAAGGGAGGGAGGGAGGGAGGGAGGGAGGAAGGAAGGAAGGAAGGAAGGAAGGAAGGAAGGAAGGAAGGAAGGAAGGAAGAAAGAAAAAGAAAGAAAGAAAGAAAGGAAAGAAAGAAAGAAAGAGAGAAAGAGAGAAAGAAAGAGAGAAAGAAAGAAACTGCCCTAAAAAAAGAAGGGAAAGGGACGTTCATTTTGAGTAGCACAGTTGCATAGCAAAGTCATGGCTTACGCCGAGCCAGGCCCTCTTTCTTTCGTTCTTCTTCCCCTTCATTTTGGGCAGAAGGTCTGTCTGAAGGGTTGGCAGGAGGTCCTCCATCACCAAGTTACTCAGGATCTGGGGAGAGGAAGACAGTCCCAGAGTGAGTTGGGTGGTGATTACTGAATCTGAGCAGCAGGCCTACTGAAGTTGTCATGATTGGCAGTCCTGATCCTGGCAACATAAGATTGTGCCGGACTACATAAAATCTGTTAGGCTGATAGTTTCACTCTGGTTCTGAGGCTACAGAAATCTCAACTAAAGACAATCTTGGAGGGTAAACGTTCTTAAATATTCGCAAAGAATAGTAATGTCTGCTGACGGTTTGCCATCAGAAAGGACAAATTCCTCAAATTCACATTTCTTCAAACTAGAAGAATCTAGTGCATTTAGGATAAAAGGCGAAAGTTTACGTCTGGGTGGCTCAGTTGTTTAAGCGACTGCCTTCGGCTCGGGTCATGATCCTGGAGTCCCGGGATCGAGTCCCGCATCGGGCTCCCTGCTCAGCGGGGAGTCTGCTTCTCCCTCTGACCCTCTTCCCTCTTGTGTTCTCTATCTCTCATTCTCTTTCTCTCAAATAAATAAATAAAATCTTTTTAAAAAAAAAGTTTAATTATGGATAAGGGCATCCTCAGCAACCTCGTGACAGGCAGCAGGCTTGGTTTTGGTGGCTTGAGTCCTTTTCTGTGTCCTCTGAGACCATCATGCCTCCTCAAGCTCCCTTGGGATCTATGTGTCTTCATGCTCTTTGTCCCTGCCTTTTCCTGAACCCCACCTCCATTATCTTTAAAGTTTAGAGAAAGAGGGGAGTAACAAATACTTAGAACAACTGGACATTTGTGGGATGAGCAGAACACGGGCAAGGGGATCTAAAGTCTTCAGAATGTTTAAAAAAAAAAAAAAATTTGCTCCCAAGTCACTCCTGAGATTCTGCTTGGCTCCATGAAAATTTTTTTTTTTTTTAATCTGAGCATGTTCTCCATGTCCACATATTACAGTACTCCATGTAACACCAACTTCTCCTTCCTTAACTAGCCACCTCCCCCGGAATTGGAGCAGATTTGTTTTTCAGATTCAGTTTTACTATGAATCTTTTGGGGCTCACAGCTTAGTTTTCAGTATCAGGCTGCAAAACAAGATTTACAAAAGAAAAAGAGTAATTTTGGGAATGGAGAATCATTTGACATTTGTTCTATGAATTTAAAATGATAACTGTGCAAAATAATTGACCTCCTTCTCATAAAAATTCAAATTAGGCTTTGGGAATTACGGAAGATTTTTTCCTGAGGTCATTGGTCAGCCTCATGCTAGTGCAAATACTCATGAGCTCACGAGATTTTGCCTTTCACCAAGGGCTCTGTAACAGCAGGGTGGGAAACTTCAGCTGAACAGTCCAGGAACACTCCCAGGGTAGAGGTGGGTGAGCCGTCCAATTCCCCTGTGCCTATGGGTCCTTGGGAGAGCAGGCTGCTCAGGTCAGTGCAGGGAGTGGGGCTCCTGTCGCCTGCGATGTAGAATTTTATGGTGTGATGAAGATTATAATGGGGATAGGATTTCCTCAAGTCCTGGTAATTCATTGGTGGGGATGTTTTTCTTTCTTAACCATTCTCTGGGAGCAGTCAAGAGGTGAACCAGAATTTTTGAGGAATTTGAGAGGAACATGATATGTGCAAGCTCCATGGAGATTAGCAGGTCCAACAATTAGATTCAAGTAGGTAATTAATAATCCATGGACCCTCCCCCCATCCTGCTTGGTGGAGTAAGTCCTTAGTTGGAACACATTTCCCTGAGACTGATGGAAGTGTGGCATGGGGAGAATGAGCTAGGAAAATAAGGAGCCTGAAGGCAGAGCTTAAAATCAATGGGAAATGTTATCTTAGTTGATAGTGTTAAAATCAGGGTCATAATAATTGCCTAATTCATCTTTTTGCAGATATTAGTTTGAGTCTGAACATAAGCATGAAATGGGTTTGAAAAGATGAAAATGTTACAAAGGCCAAAGGAAAAAAATATTCCATTTGGGTGGGCTTATAGTTTTCTTTTAGTCTTTCCCATAATGTTCCAAGAAATTGAGTTCTATTTTATAATTTAGGGAATTGAAAAGGAAATATGTCTGGGAAAAAAAAAAAGAAGGGGAATAGGAGTGGCTTGCAAGGGTGTGGGGCTTGGCAACACCACAGGGCAGGCAGAGCCTCGAAGTGCTGAGGCCCAACTGTGTCCATCCCAACGCTGAGTAACCCTCTTCCTCCACCCTTCAGCCCACCCCCCATCCTTGTGCAGCCCCCTCACCCGCCCAGGGTCCGCTCTCAGATTCCCTACCTGGGTCAGCTCTTCATGAGCAGGGTCCAAAGCCCTGGGGCTATTCTAGGGAAAGTAGCTAGTCAAATAAGTAAGCCATACTAATGAAGGGGTTCCTCAACCTTCTCCCCCAGAACAAATCTATCAAGTATTTTTAGGGCCCTAAAAATACCACTTTTATTTAAAAAAAAAAAATGGTGTGTGTGTGTGTGTGTGTGTAAATTTAACTGCTGGGATATATAGATTCCATCACACATATAAGAAACCAAATATGCCATTAGGTTGGTCAAAATCAACAAACTCAGGCTCACTCCCTGAAGGCCACACCATGTGTTACGTTCCAGATGCTGATGCTGTGGGGAAGATGTGAGGTCCAGAGAGACTGCTCTTCTTCCTGAGACTGGCCCGATGGTCTGACCGGGCTGTCGGCCTTGTGCCTTTTATGTTACTGTGTGGCCATGGGTGAAAGAATAATTTAAAGGGGTCACATTCAAGGTCATTAGACAAAAGACAACTCTGAAATGTATGGAGAAGGCCTAAAATGTGGATAGTTTTCTTGTCTTGAAACTACCTGTTCTGTGGGAATTATGAGCTACTTTCTCAGCTCAGCTGATTAATTTAAAGGCAAATTTAAATTTATAGTAACACTTATAAGATAATAAATATATATTACATAAATGTTACTGTGATAAATATACCAAATAACTGTAAATACTTTACATTTTGTAAACTGCTTTCCTTCATGACCTCATCTGTTACATTTTTATAGACGAGTAGGAACTATATTTAAGTTTTTACTAGTATACAAATATTTTCACCTTAATCGTCTGTAGGCAAGTTATCCTAAGATATTTGCTCTGCCTGGACACTTGCCTGAAAAATAACCCCTACCATGAGGGCCCACCAGACTTGCTATGTGAGTCATTACTATGAAGATAATAATGTAACAATGCTGAGCATCTTCTGAATATCAGGCCCTGAGGTAGAGGGGGTTAGGACAAAATGATCAAATTTTCAGTAGATCTGAAAAAAGTGCAAACAAATGCAGTGCTTTAAGTAAAAGATGTCATATTCTTAAACTCAGTTATGTCATGCCATTTTTTTTTTAATTACTCAGTAGCTTTTTTGGGCCCCTGATCTCTTTTTCCTGTGAGCGTTAAGAGAGACACCGCTTCAGCTCCATGCGTGAGGTTACAGGGAAGCGTACCCTCCCTGGGCCCCAGACAGGGGGGTTTTGGAGCCCACTTCCTTCCATTTTCTTTCACTGGCTTCTCCACGCAGAGCCAGACATGGCTTAAAATGCGTTTCCATCCCAGACTGGCTCTGTGACCTCAGCCAACCTCTCTGCATGTTCCTTTTCTCACCTGGAGGGCGATGGACAGATAATCCTTGAAATGCCCTTCCAGCACTCACATTTTAGGAGTCTGACTTCCCCACAGATACTCAGATTCCTGGGGGAGCAAAACTTCTTACTGGGTCACTTGATAACTCCAGCTTTTACTGATCTCTTATCTGCTTTTGTTTTGTTTAGTTCTGCTTTCCCATTTATGGTATTTTTTTATACTGCAAAATTCGCACCTTCCTATCACTGCTTCGTGCTAATGCTTTATGATGTCCATATATGTGCAGACCCACATATGCTTACCCACACACACTTCTAACACTGCCTTATTCTACATCTAGGTATGACTTGCCTCACTGCGATGGCAAAGGATGAGTCATTTAGTTCTCTTGCTTTTTCTAGCGCTTCGCACATTATCAACGCAAAGCAAAAGGCAGAAGGTCAACAAAAGAAACATGATACTCAATGCAAAGAAAGGATTCATTAAGTACCTGCTTTCGATGGGGCATCATGAAGACATGTGAGCCGCCACGAGATTTCAAATGAAAGAAAAGATCAAGCAAGTAGCATAGGTAAACTTGAGGAGTTAAATAAATGTTGAACTTGGTAGCATTCCATTGTTGGTGTTGATCTTTCACGGGACCAGGAATTGGAAGCCATCATTTCCTTTGCCATTTGTCCACTTAGCATGTGACCATGAAGCTATCAGCTGCACGGGGCAGGGACCGTCCTGTCCCGCCCATCCTCTGGATCACCAGCACCCACCATGGTGCCTGGCACACAGTGGCTCAATAGTTGTTGAGTGACTAAAACCAGACAAGTCACTTAACTGTTATATGCCTCCCTCGGTTTTCTCATTTACAAAATGGAAATACTAGCAACCTCATGAGATCAGTAAGATGAACACACAGAATTAGAATTTGAACATTAAAAAGCATTATACAAAGGCATTTTAATACTGGTATATCTACTAAATATGTTGGTTTACATGGCAGGCTTCAGCCTCCCCTTTTGCTTTCATTTTTCTTTTTGGCATAAGTACAGTTAGTCCTTAATCCTCTCAGACTGATAAATGAATGTGCTTCCCCCAAATATCAGAAACCAAGAATTGGCTAAAGTGCTGGAATAAGTCTCAGGCTAAGAAATAAATGAGTTTAGAATCCTCCAAAGGGAGGGAAAAAAGAAGCTTCTGAGTCATGTGGTTAAACAATGAAGAATAGCCCCATCATCATGAGCAAATGTTTTCGGCATTAGATGTTTCATGACCGTATGAAGGCAAGGCCCCATCTGGTCTCTTCCAAATATTGTCTCCTAATAACAAATTCCACTGGCCCCCAAAAGAGGCACTCGGGGAGATAAGGGGAAATTAAAGAACAGCATTGTTGGACCCTATGTGCCTCTAATTAAATAATGCCATACCCAACCTTCCTGGCTGAATCAGCCATGTGATTGGTGTTCTCATGGACACAGTATCCTTGGAGATTTGTAACAATGGCCCTGGTACCAAGCCAATGGAGGTACTCAGCCCATGACTAGCATTTAATCAAGGTCATGGGAAATTATATCAGGCCACGGGGGATAGAAAACTAGAAGAGGTAAATAAAATGCACGGAAAACTGTCTAATGCTTTTAAAATGTGTTTCCTTGACTTCGTTTACAGATCATTCAATACATAAAGACAAGTGCATGCCAAATAGTTTTCCGACAACATCTCACTTAATGCTCAGAACCCTGCAAGGTAAACATTATCATTACTCTCTTTCTCAGAGGCCTAACCTGAGACGAAAAGAGGTCCAATAACTTGGCAAGATTTAGCCCAAGTCCACTGACCTAAGCCCCCACCACACATTTTTGCTTACAGTCTGGAAGCACGAGGCCAGTTGAAAGAATCATGCTTTGTGTAGAAAGCAGTAGAAGCAGCTCTCCCCATTGCCATTTGCGCGTTTCAAGCTGCCCTGTTTACTGCCCACTCAGGAGGTTTTTGGAGAGGGTGCCTAAAAGCTTGTGGACCAAATGCTTCTAGACGATGAGAGAAACAGCCTTTGGAACTACATCTTCCGTTCTTGCAACTTTTTTTGTTTGATTTTTAAAAAATTTTTTAAATTATGACTCTGACCTCCCGCATGTAGACAGAGAAGAGGGTCCAGAATTCTGAGCCCGTGTTACCTGGACTTCATCCCCTGTGATCATTTCCCACGAGCCATAGTGTCCCTTCTCCTGCCGGAAGAACTGTACAGCTTCTAGAAATGCTTGGGCTTCGAACGTCGTCTGCTTCATGTAATCTAAGAGAAAGAGGCAAGGGCATTTAGTAGAGAAGAATACTTCTACATTTGACCATGACTCTTCAGGGGACCTACTATTACCTGAATGTTACAAGGGAGAGAATTATGAGACACAGAAAAATTAAGCAGGTGCCGAATTCAAAGTTCATGTGCAGATGTGAATTACACTCCTTGCTCCCCATAGCAGCAGATTCATTCTGTCCGTTCCTGGGCAGACTGGCTAGGATGAGAAGCAGATGAACCCCCCTTTATCTTTCTTATAAATGCTTCCCTGGGGCATGGAGGCACCTAGTGGCTTTATGCCTCCAACCGTAGCACCTCACTACGGCAGACCATTTCTTCACAGGGCTTTGTGTAGCCGCGGAATCCCCTCCCCATTCCCTGAACAAAACTCTGATTTCTTTGTGGCTTGATAACAACTTTCTGTCAAAAGGACATCAATATAATATGCTGATTTATGCAAACAAAGGATGACAACGGCTAACAACTATATAGCAAGATACTGTTCTTCTAAGCATGTTACATATTTCATTGAAACCTCACAAGAACCTTTGAGGTGTTATCATCTTGATTGTATAGATGCTCCAGAAGCCCAGAGAGATTAATTAATTGCCTAAGGCCATACAGCTAGTAAGTGTGTGAACTCAGGCAGCCTGATTCCAGTCAGACGACACTACATTATACCAGCACCACGCTACACTACCTCACATATTAGTTTTCTGGGTTTGCCCTTCCAAACAGGTTAGATTTTATTTTTTTATTATTTTATTTTATTTAAAATAATTAATTAACATATAGTGTGTTATTAGTTTCAGAGGTAGAGTTCAGGGATTTATCAGTCTTATATAACACTCAGGGCTCATCACATCATGTGCCCTCCTTAATGCCCATCACCCAGTGACCCCATCCCCCCACTCCCCTTCCCTCCAGCAACCCTCAGATTGTTTCCTATAGTCTCTTAGTGTGTCTCCCTCTCTGATATAATCTTATTTTTCCCTTCCTTCCCTTATGATCCTCTGTTTTGTTTCTTAATTTCCACATGAGTGAAATCATATAATTCTTTCTCTGATTGACTTATTTAGCTTAGCATAATACCCTGTAGTTCAAGCCATATCTTTGCAAATAGTAAGATCTCTTTTTTTTGATGGCTCAGTAATATTCCATTGTATATATATACCACATCTTTATCCATTCATCTGTTGAAGGACATCTGAGCTCTTTCCATAGCCAAACATAATAGATTTTAAAAGAGGAGATCTGTGTCTGAGAGGAAATATTTAATGGCAGGATTTTAAGTGTGGTTGGGGGAGCAAGGGCTCAATAATCTTCCCAGAATTCCACAAATCACACCGTGCATACAAATGTCTTCATTTCTGCTATGAACTGAATATTTGTGTCCCCCAGAATTCATATGTATGATAATACATACTAATCCCCAGTATGATAATATTTGGAGATAGAGCCTTTGGGAGGTAATCAGGTCAGGGAGGTATTATAGGATTACTGCCCTTATCATGATGGGATTAGTGCCCTCATAAGAAGAGAGCTCTTCCCCCCACTTCCCTCTCTCTCACCAGACACTGGACCTGCCAGTGCTTTGATCTTAAACTTCCAAGACTGTGATATTTTTGTTACAGCAGCCTAAACTGACCAAGGCATTTTTTTTTTTTTTTAGATTTTATTTATTTATTTGTGAGAGAAAGAGAGAGCAAGCGAGCACAAGCAGGGGGGGTAGGAGAGGGAGAAGCAGGCTTCCCGCTGAGCAGGGAGCCTGATGTGGGACTCGATCCCAGGACCCTGGGATCATGACCTGAGCCAAAGGCAGATGCTTAACCAACTGAGCCACCCAGGCGTCCCTGACCAAGGCAATTTTCAACGCACAAAGCTAGCTCTTGGAAGATACAATGGTTATAGAATTATAATAATCTTTTCAGGGAAATGAATCATAGAAATAATCTAATCTAACAATAAAGAAATCAAATCTTAGAAAGGGGAAATAAGGCTAAATGAAGGGATTGAAAGCACCAAGTCTCTTGTCTCCTGCTTCTCCCCCTATAGGACACGAAGTTCTCTTGTTAATAGCATATGATCTGTATTTATAGGGCAAATTAGATTAGCCAGTTGAAGGCCGCTGATTCACTGGGGACCTTCAGAGCTTTAGACAATGGGATTACTCAGTCAAGGAATGAGTGGTTGATAAGGGGGACTGGGCAGAACTGAAAAAGGATCAATCTGCTCCAGAAGGTGACAATCAATAGGCTCTAGATGACTCTTTTAAGATTGGTTTAGGAGGTCATAAGCCTCAGGAACCTGGAAAAGAAAATGCAATACCTTTCAAGGCAGAGCCTCTATAGAGTTCAAGCAACATTCTTCACAGTGAGGATAGCACAAAGCCCTGAATCTCCACCTTCAAAAATGTGGAACCATAACTGACATTTCTAATATTGACACAGAGATCTGCTCAAGATCTAGATCAGAAAAAGAGCACGTCTGAGAATCAAGTTTTTAAATTGAAGTATTTTCTTCCTTGTTATTTTTTCTGGCTTGGCAAATGATTTAGCGTTTAATCTTAGAGGTTTGGAAAACACAAATTAAAGACTTGGTATATAATTGACAGCAAGGGGGCTGTGATACGGGGCTCAGTACACTGGGAGGGACTTTACCAACAGAGATGGAAACTGTAATTATACATTGAGATTCAAAATTGACTCATGTGCTCTTATTTTTAACAGCTGTTTTCATTTCCAACCTAAGGAAACAAAGAGATGGAAGAAAATGTGGTACTTGGACGGAGTGAGAACTGCCAGACCCGTGAGCCTGGGAATAAGGTCTTAAATTCTTCATGTCCTTACAAAAAGCATAAATTTACTTATTTCTTCCCCCACTAACCTCAGTAACTGGAGGAGGTATTTGAAATCCTACTCATACCTTCCATAATTATATCAAAGCAAACTATGGCAGCCCCCCTATGTGTGTTTCAAAAAATCTTTGAACAAAACAGAAGAAATGGGATTTGGAGACAATGATGTGGGAGTCAGAGAGAAGTCCAAGAGGAGAAAGAAGAGCTGGTATGTAGTAGTGGTGGATGAGGCACCTTAATCTAGGCAGAAAAGAAAAGGGTTAGTAATCAGATGAACCACACAGGAAATTATAGCAATTGAACATCAGCAAGAAAGCCTAAAAGAATGAGGGCAGGGATCTGAATTCTTGACTCCCTATCATTAAGATGGATTTTAAACTGGACTTTAACTATTCCTTTTCCACAGGGGAAAAAAGGATCTAATTTACTGATTCATCATTAGATTTTTCAGGTTATAAACTGGTCAAGTAAATTAACTTCTATAAACCTTTTAGAACAGTATCTGCCATATTAAATCCACTTTATGGATATTAATTTTTATGATTGTAAGCCAAGCTCAACAGCATCTGCCAAATCGTTACGGAAATAAAGAACAAAGGTTTGCTTTGTAAAAGATAGAACTGTATTGCAATGGTAATATGACCTTCATTTCTTCTAAGTTGTTTGTAGAGGCTTTGTTGAACTCAGCCAGAATGTACAGGTGTTTGAGAAAAACCGGATTATCAGTTATTTGATCAACTTCCTGACATAGATCTCATGAGAACAAATTCCAGGATCACAATCATTCGCTCTCCTGCCAACAAGCAGCTGAGAGTTTAGTCCAGTAGTCCCCAGAATCAACAAAGGCTTTTGGTTGTTAAGCCTTCTCCTTGTAGGTCGACTTAGAAAAATGGCAGGTTCTCAGCTCCAACTGTACTTTCCCAACATGTTATCATTATGAGGATGCTCAAGGAGACAGATGTGCTGGAGAGAACTTATCATTAAATACAGATCCCTCATTTGGTGGATAAGGAAACGGAAAGAAAAAAATGGTTAATTTCTTGGCCGAAGGTCACACAGCTGGTCAGAATCAGAGCCAAGAGTTGAAAAAGTAGCTCTGGCATGTCAGGAGTGGCCTTGGCATTCTTGCTTACTTAAATCATAGACTATGGGAGCTGAAAGTGGTCTTAAAGGTCACCTACCCTGAGCTTTCACTCCATGCTGGAAGCCTTCAGAATCCCAGACGCTCATCTGGCCTTAGCTTGATTATTTCCAGTGACAGAAAGCTCACAATTTATGAAGTAGTCACGGAACTGCTCTAATTATTTGAAAACTTTTCCTTTTATTGAGCCAAAATCTGTTTCCATGAACTCTCATTAATCTCATTTCTGCTTTTCAGAGCAAAATAGACAAGTTTACTCCACTTCTATATGGTAACTCTAAAAAAATAGCTGAATATCCTTGTTTTCCTTCAACAATTCTTTAAACAATATAGTTTTGGGGATCTTTTAAATTTAGCCCTCTTTTTTCATTCCTTCCCTTAGTAACCAACTCCAGTTAGTCAATATCTTTCTTAAATTTGGCCCCTACACTGAATCCAACCCACTGAGTATTTTATACTTGCACAAATTATGTAAAGTAAAAAGATTACTTTCCTTTTTCTGGTCCCTAACTTCTTTTTCTTTTTCTTTTTTTTTTTTTTAACACAAACACATTACACCATTGACTCATACTTTTCTTATAAGCAAATAAAATCCCTCCAACTTTTCATATAAAACCCTTGTCAATTTAATCCTTTCCTAACCTATACTTATGCTTTTGATTTTGAAGTACAGGTTTTAATGCTACCCCTAATAAATTACAAGTTACTGTTATCAACTCAGTGCCCCAGAGCCGGCCAAAATCATTTTAAAATTATAATTCTGTTTCCGAACTCCCTTTCACCTCTGTATCATTAAAAAATTTGGTGGGCTTTCCTTCTGTTGTTTCTATCCAACTCACCAACTGAAACATTCATCAGATTGGGGGCAAGGACAGATCCCTGGGAAATTCTAAACATTTTAGAAGACATGGGAGACACATCTTGGCCATTCATTCGACAATCGCATTCTCAGGACCTTAGTCTCTCCCTATTTCTCATCTGTGCAGTTGCATGGAAAAC